ACACCCTCTAGCAAAAAAAAAAGAAAAAAGAAAAAAAGGAAAAAAATCTTTAGACAAATAGAAACAGAACATAGATCTTATGAGATGCAGGAAAGGCAATACTAAGCATGAAGTTCATAGCAATACACACCTACATCAAAATAGAATGATCTCAGATAAACAACCTAATGTTAAGTAGAAAAAGAACAAAGTAAACTAAAACTTAGCAGATGAAGGAAATAACAAGAATTAGAGCCGAGATAAACAAAATAGAGACTTGAAAAGTCATAGAAAAAATCAGTTAATCTAAAAGTTATTTTTGTGTGTTTTTTGAGAGGTTTTTGCTATAAGGCTCGTGTGCTCACCAGAGAGACAGACAGAGACAGAGAGACAGAAAGCGAGAAATCAGTCCCTTCTCCTTCATTGTCTTCTATTCTCTTGGGATCTTGGGCACGCATACATATGAGCCTGGCGTGAATTTAAGCCACCGGGTCCAGGATTCGAACTGTGGTCGACTACATGGGAGTCCAGCAACATAGCCATTACTCCAGCTGCTGGTCCCCTAAAAGTTGTTTTTTAAAAGTTTCTTTCTTTCATGAGAGAGTGATTGACAGAGACAAAGAAAGTATCCCCAACAGGGTCCCAATGCCATGTTCTGCCTCCACCCTTAATACAACCCCAGATCATGGGTACTAGTGTTCTGGCATATTCTGGGAAGTCTCCAGACTTGAACTGGAAAGTTTCCAATGTGGGATTGCCTTTCAGACTTATGTTTTACCACTGCGCTACTATTTGTACCCCTTGAAAAGATAAGCAAAATTGGGACCAGCAGTTAGTGTAATGGCTATGTCGCTGGACTCCCATGTAGGCAACCATGGTTCGTGTCCCGGACCTGGTGGCTTAAAACTCACGGCGGGCACGTGGTCGTGTATGCGCAAGAATACGAGCGTGGAATGGAGGAGAAGGGATTGCGGCATGGCCATCCCCCCTGGAGGGTGATTTCTCGCTTTCTGTCTCTCGGTCTCTCTCTATCTGGCGAGCGCACACGCCCTATAGCAAAAAACCTCTCAAAAAAAAGAAAAGAAAAAAGAAAAGATAAGCAAAATTGACAAAATTTTAATTAGACTGACAGAAAAGAGAAGGCTCAAACAAAATCAGAAATGGGAGATGAAAATTAGAACTTATACCAAAGAAATACAAATGACCATATGAGAGTACTGTTAACAACTATACACCAACACCTAGAAGAAATTGTCACATTCTTGGAAACATGCAACTTGCTGAGACAGAATCACGAAGAACTAGAAAGTCTGAAGAGACCAATATTATACAAGGAAAAGATGCCTTCCAGGAAAAGCTCTAGACCCTAATAACTTCACTGCTGAATTCTGTAACATTTAATGAAGAACTAATACAGGCCTCAAACTCTTCCAGAAATGTGAAGAGGAGCTTAAAAGTTCCAGAGGCCAGCATTACCTATACCAAAGCCAAATAGTGGTGCTGCAAGCAAATAACAGGCCAATATTCCTGATATACCTAGGTCATAATTCCTCAACAAAATACTAGCAAACTGAAACTAATAATGCATTAAAAAGATCATCCAATATGATCAAGTGAAATTGATCCCAGGGATGCAAGCATGGCTCATTATACTAAATCCCCAATATATGTGATTATTTCAATAGCTGCAGAAAAAAACATTTGACACATTTTAACATCTGTTCATAATAAATAAAAACTCACAACAAATTAGGTATTGAAGGGATGTACCTCAACATAATAAAGATTATATATGACAAGCTCACTGCTATCGTCATACTCAACAGTGAAATGTGCATACTTTTCCGCTATGATCAGGAACAAGGAAGAAGTCTTACCACTTCTATTCATCATAGTATGAGAAATCTTAACCAGAGCAAATAGGCAAGAAAAAAGTAATAAAGGGTGTTCATGTAGGAAAGGAAGAAGTAAAATTGTCAAATCACATGGTCTTAGTGTAAAAAATTCTAGACTCCAAAAAACTGTTAAAACTTATTAAATAGAGGCCAACAGGTGGCATAATGTTTAAACTGCTGGACTCCCACGTGGGTGACTGTGGTTCAAGCCCTGGACCTGGTGGCTTGAAAATCATGATGGGTGCTTGTGCATGTGTGCCCAAAATCCCAAGAGGAGAATGGAGGAAAAGAGATTATGGTATGGTCATCCCCTTTGGGGAGTGATTTCTCATTTTCCCGCTCTGTGTCTCTCTGGCAGTGTACTTGCCCAATGGCAAAATTCTAAAACAAAAATCAAACAAAAACCTGATTAAACAAGTTCAGTAACGTCACCCATTATAAAATCAACTTATAAAAATAGTAGTGTTTCTATATAATAATGAAATACTAAAAAAAAGAAGCTAAGAAAAGGATCCCAATTACAATACCATAAAAATAGGAAAATTTTACTAAGGTGAAAGATCTATACATTGAAAATATTGATGAAAAAACTGAAAAAGACATAAGTAAATAAAAGGATATCCTGTTTGTAGATCGACTCTTTCAATTTCCCTCTGCTCCCCTTCTTAAAGTTGCTTTCTTATTTTTGTTTGTTGTTTAAAATTTTCTTCCTATTGGTTTTTATTTGTTTTTATAATAGAACCAGTTATTTTCAAATAGGGCAGTTTTTTCTACCCTTGGGGGTATGTGTTAATGTCTTGACATACTTTTGTCTGTTACAACTTAGTGCTGAATGGGTGGGAGATATTATTAGTATCTAGTGGGTAGGTGCCCAGGATGCTGCTAAACAGTACTGTGCACAGACAGCCCCCAATAATGAGGAATAATGCAGCCATAGTGGCAATACAGTAGTTCTCAAGTTTAGAAACTCTGCCTTAAAGTAATATACATTTTCTCCAACTATCTATAGGGTATGGGCAAAAACATGAAACAAACAAACAAACAAAAACAAAGCAGAAGCAATAAAAATTGTTTCAAGGAATTCAGAGCAGTAAGAAGTATTTGGTGAAGGAAAATTTCTCAAGTCCCAAAGATAGAGTGCCTCCTCTTCCCATCCCAGAGTTGTAGAAATTAATGCTTGGCATGGGGAAAAATAAAACTTCCCCATTGCCTAGTGGTTAGGACAGTTGAATTCCACATGGCTGATTATGCATTTCGGATACCAGCCCTAGTGGCTTGAAAAACATACCTGGTACATGTGTGTGTGCCATAAATCTCAACGGGATGAGAAATGGAGAAGGGATTGTAGCATGACCATGCCCCATTGCGGGATGTTTTTTTCTCTCTCACTCACTCTCAGTGATAGTCACATGCACCCTCTTGCAAAATTAAAAAAAAAAAATCCTCTCATCTGGTACTGGTGCTTAAGCATTTTCTATCATTATTCAGCATCTTACAGTGTTTTACAATATTCAGATCTTTTGTTATTTGCCAATTTAATGTGATAAGTAGATCATCTTTACACTGAAGGAAAGACCTCACTGCTCTTAAGATTGTAAGAGGGACCAGCAGATGGCTGGTTACATCGTTGGACTCCCACGTAGTCAACTGTGGTTTGAGTCCTGGACCTAGCAGCTTAAAACTCAAGCCAGCCACATTTGCGTGCATGCCCAAAATCCCAAGAGGAGAATGGAGGAGATGGGATTGTGACATGGCCATCCCCCCAGGGGGTGATTTCTTGCTTTCTAGTTCTCTGTCTCTCTGGCAAGTACTCAAAAAGATTGTAAGAGGTTGAAAGATTTTATATTTTTGATTGTAGCATGGTTCTAATTGTACCAATTTAGCTAAAATTCTGTTCTTGTTAATTTTGTCTTGCTTATACATAAGCTATAATCACTTGTACTGTATCATGTTTGCATTGTGATAAAATGTCACCTTGCCTCAGTGACTGAAGTTATAGGAATCCTGTGATTAAAATAGAATTTGTGATAGGTTATTTTTTTTCAGTGTATTAGGGGAGACTGGAAAAATTTCACAGGGCAATTAGGTGGTTGTAAATCATTACATGGGGATTAAAATCTCCTTTTTAGAAGTGAGCAGAAGACTGGATCTGAGGCCTGGTGGTTAAGGAAGCTCTATATTCCACATGGCTGACCATGCAGTTCAAATCCCAACCCCAGTGTCTCGAGAAAAATGCCAGGTGCATGTGTATACATACCCAAAATCCTGTAAGGAGGGAGAGATGGAGGATAGGAAATTGTGGTGTGACCATTCCCCATTGGGTAATGCTTTCTCCTCTCCCTCTTTGTCTTTTTCTTGTGGGTGCACATGCCCTCTAACAAAACAAACAAACAAACAAACAAAAAACAAAGCAAAACAAAAAGTGAGCAGAATTAAAGAAAATCAAGAACAGGACAAAACAAACTAAAAACAAGACAAGATCTAAAATAACCTCATAGGAGATGAAGCTTCTAAAGTTCATTGGTTACTAGCAGGAGAACCTCTAGATTCAGAAACCAAAAAGAGGAGAGGCCATAGACAAGCCTAAAAGAGACTGTTTACTACTTTGAAATCTATGTAACATCCTAGCATCCTTTCTCTTTTCATTGAGTAGAGTAGATCTCTAGTACTATTGAATTTTTAGGGGACAGTCATATGTTAGGACTATAGGTGTGATGAGGTAGGTTGGGAGTTTATAAAATTACCTGAATAATTTTTAATATGTGTATACTTAACCCCAAATATGGCTTTATTCTAAAATTTCTTCATGCTAGTAATTTTTACCTATATACTTAAAGTGATAGTGCCTATAATGTCCCAGGAAAGGCAAAACAAGCATGTGCTTGAGAAACCACAGAAAGGCAAGCAAAATATGAGACCTCTAGGATTTAACAGAAGAGTATTCTTAGTGCTTTGTTGTAGTCAACTTGATTTCATAGAATCAAGAAATGTGTAAAGGAATTTAGGCTTCTCATAGGATAGATGTGAATACCCTGTCTTGTCTTATCTTAATATTTATGATTTAATTTGATGAAGTAGGTTTCACTTTTAGGTTTCAAAAAGTAGATTTCTGATTTTTTTTTCCAGTGAATATCACCTCTGCCAGGCAATTAACCGGATGTAGTCGCTTCAGCCATATTTTTCCTTCATCTGCTTACCAGCACATTAAGATGCATAAAAGAATCCTGGGACACTTGTCATCTGTCTACTGTGTAGCATTTGACCGAAGTGGGAGAAGAATTTTTACAGTGAGTTTAAAATTTATATGACTACATATTACAGATTTACAACAGTTGAAGCTAGATTTTATGGCAGTGAATTATGCTTTGTAAGCAATTCATCTTTTTTGGAATGCATTAAAGGATGAGTGGAAATTGTACAACTCTCATTTTATATAAATAAATGGGTGAACTATAATGTTCACTATATTTTGGGAAATTTGAGAACGCTCAGTCAGAAAAGCGCTGGCACAACTATATTTATTGTAGCACTAGTCACGATTGCTAAGACATGGAACCAACCCAAATGTCCACAAATAGATGAATGGATTGAAAAAGTGTGGCATATATACTCCATGGAATATTATTCAGCCATAAAAAACAACAAGGCCCTTGGAATTTGATATAAAGTAGACGGATATTGAAGATTTGATGCTGAATGAAGCAAGTCAGGCTATGAATGAGAGACATTGATTGTCTCCACTTAACATAGACCGACTGTCCACACACTATGGTAGAGACTGAAAGATTGGAGGACATAAAAGCATTAAAAGTTGTTATGGGCATTAAAGATAAAGTGGAAGGAGAGTGTGGGAGGGGAAGAGTGCAGGAAAGGAAATTTGAGGAAAGAATGGAGAGCTAAGATATTTCTGGGACACAGATATGGTTTATCATCTGTTGATGAGGATGTGTATAGTATTCTCAACAAGACTGAGATGTCTATCACGGTGGGTAAAGTCTCTTTACAATCTAAATGATGTATAGTGATTGAATGTATAAATAATAATAATAATAAAATACATTTGCAAGAAAAAAGTAAATCTTCAGAAGGCCATATCTTCTAGAGGTTGCTAATTTGTGCGAAATGAGTGTACTACTTTTCATTCTGTTTTAACAGGCATTTATTTTTCAATTAATTAATTTTTTGAGAGGTTTTTGCTATAGAATACGTGTGCTCACCAGAAAGACAGAGACAGAGAAACAGAAAGTGAGAAATCACCCCCAGGAGGATGGCCACACCACAATCCTTTCTCCTCCATTCTCCTTTCGGGATCTTGAGCACGCATGCACACGCATTTGGCGTGAATTTAAGCCACCGGTTCCAGGACTACAGTCGACTACATGGGAGTCCAGCGACATAGCCATTACACCAACTCCTGGTCCCTCAATTAATTAATTTTTAAAACTTCGCTATAAGGCATGTGCACTCACTGAGAAAAGGTGAGGGTGGAGATGCAAGTGAGAAAGCACCCCAGGAGGAATGGCCACACTGCAGTCCTTTCTCTTCCATTCTCTCAGTATATGGGACTTGTACATCCACGGTGGACCTGATGCATTCCTCAGGTCACTGAGTCTGTGACTTGAACTGCACATTTGAGTATGCAGGGTCCAGCCACCTTAACTACCATATCACCAGTGGCCCAGTAAACATTAAAATGCATTTTCTGTGAGTTGCTTAGTGTAATTGCTGCCAACTTTCTTTAATTATTGATTATATCACACTATGATTAAATAGTTTGACTGAAGGCTCAGTAATGAAGATTAGATTATATTTATTTTGTGTAAATTTCTTTTATTTTAATTTTTTTGTTTTATTTTATTTTGTTTTTGCTATAGTGATTGTGCACTTGTTAGAGAGAGACAGACAGAGAGAGAGAGTGAAAGTTAGAAATTACACCCTCCCTCAGGGAGGATGTTTGCATTTCCAGTCTCTTCTCCATTCTCCTCTCAGGATTTTGGGCATGCACGCACACATGCCTGATGTGTTTTTCAAGCCTCTGAGTCTGGAATTTGAATTGCTCAGTTGGCCATGTTGGATCCAGCATCCTTAACTACCATGCCACCAGCTGGCTCAACACTGGTTATTTTTCAATTAGATTTTTATCAAACAGAGCATATGATACTTTTTTTTTTTAATTTACTAGAGGTCATGTGTGCTTACAAGAGAGAGAGAAAGAGAGAGAGAGAGAAAGTGAGAAGGCATATTCCCTCATGGGGGATGGACATGCATGATCACTTCTCCATTTCTTTTTTCACTATATTGGGCACACATGTGCAGACATATGCCCTGTGTATTACTAAAATCACTGGGTCCATGACTTGAACTGCCAGTCACCCATATGGGGTCCAGCCACCTTAACTACCATGCCATCAGCTGACCCCATACTATATGCTTTCGAGTACAACATTTTAGTATGCTAATATTTCCAAGAAAAGAATTAGTCTCATGGTCTCAGAAGTAAGTTAGCATAGAAGTGTGGGTAATAGCATAGTTTTTACATTTTTATGCTACAACAAAGGAAGTGGTTTGTACTTTGCGAAGTTAGACTCCTTGGAGTATATTACAATATTACAGATCCTCTTGTTGGTGACTTCATGACTCTAAATGTATTACCTAAATATGTGAATGTTAATGATTGTGATGAGGATGATGAATGACATCTTTTAATACAGTTAAGATAATTATTAAATAACTTACCTGTGGGCTAGCCTGTGGCATGACGATTAAGGGGGCTAACTGCAGTTCAAGTCAAGGACCTGGTGGCTTGAGAAATGTGCTGAGCATGTATACACGTGAGCCCCAGGTACAGAGAGGGGAATGAAGGGATTGCAGTGGCCATCCCCCGAGGGGGGTTGCTTTCTCAACTTTCTCTCTCTCTCCAGCGAGTGCACATACCTGATAGCAAATTAAAAAGAGAAAATAATAACTTGTATATCACATTAGAGTAGAACTGTTATTGACTTGTTTTAAAGCCCTTTTGAAATCCTTATAGGAAATTCAGCATATTACTTTTTTAAATTTTTCAATTTTACATTTATTCACTGTATATCATTTCAGCATAAGAAATTACTTCCCATGTTTACTGAGAAATGCATGTATCTTTAGGTTAAATTTTAAAATATTGATATTTGTAGAAAAAATGTTCAAACAACAAAAAGGCTGTCACACTAAGGTAACAAATGATAGTAGAAATACCTAATGACAACTCACTTAAAAATGAGTTTAAATATTTTGAGTTGTCAAGATTGGTAGTACTTTTGAGGAATTCTTTACAAATGCCATTGGCAGTTTAGACAATGCTATATCATTTCTATCATTTGAATATGATTTATACATGATACTGGATCCATGTTATAAAAGATGAATCTAAAAAGTAAAGGTTTTGAAGTAATTTAATAAAAATCTTCTTTTTTTGTACTTTTGGCCTTTCCCTTTGTTGGTGGTAGCAAATTTCTCCTTTATTATAAATCTTCTGTTCTTTTGTTTATTATAGGGTTCAGATGACTGTTTGGTGAAAATCTGGGCTACAGATGATGGACGCCTGCTTGCTACACTTCGAGGGCACTCTGCTGAAATTTCTGACATGGCTGTTTACTATGAAAACACTCTCATTGCTGCAGGCAGTTGTGATAAGGTTGTAAGAGTATGGTGTCTTCGAACTTGTGCCCCTGTTGCAGTCCTTCAGGGACACTCAGCTTCTATTACTTCCATACAGGTAATAAAAATGATAAGATACCTCTCCATATCTAATAAAAGTGAGAATTATCTCATTCTTTGTTATAGTGTACAGATAATAACACAAAGAATGGCACCATAAAAATACTCTCCTAAGGACTTGTTCTTACAGTTTTTTTTTTCCCCGATCAATCTAATTATCTTTAGAAATAAGTAAAGAGAGGGACCAGCAGATGGCATAATGGATATGTCTCTGGACTCCCATGTAGTTGACCATGGTTCAAGGCCTGGACCCAGTGGCTTCAACTTGTGCCAAGAGCATGTATACATGTGCTCAAAATCCCAAGGAGAATGGAGGAGAAGGGATTGTGGTATGACTATCACCCTGGGGCTGGGGGGCGATTTCTCACTTTTTCTCTCTCTATCTCTTTATCTCTGGCGAGCACACACTCTCTATGGCAAAAATTTCTCAAACAAACAAACAAAAAACAAAAAAATAAGTAAAACCATGATTGAGAAAGTTCTTCATTTATAACATAAGATATCTTATTTATCTCATGTGTATTTGTGAAGAAGGGAGAAAACTGGTACCTGCCTTAAGAGCATAAAAATACCTATTGGGATAGAAACAGGCTTTAACTTGGCAAACTTTGTTTTAATATTTAATGCAAGATGTTTGTCAATCACAGGTAATGTGTGTTTGTGTGTGTGGGGGGGTGTATATAGTTTCATGTTAGGACATTTATTATTTTTAGCTTCTGCGATTTCTTATTTCAATTCGATATTTGACATAAAGCATTGATTTATCTTAAATACTGGTTAATTAATATTTTTACCACATGTTGGTAGTAAAAGTCCTAGATAGCCCAAAAGAACTTTTATTTAATGAAACAAAACCAAATTTTTGTCCTCTTTTCTGTATTGAGAGTGAAACCAGGGTCCTTTTAAAACTTTTACAGTTTGGTCAAAGATACCTGTTTTAGAGAAAATAATAACTACCATTTACCTTTATTTGTTATTTAGTTGCTAATATCACCATTTTTGTGTTGTTAAATCATGCATCACCTATTTGGGGGGGAGCTAACAAGAATTGAGTTCAGTATATATCGATTTGAAAAACTTCATGTCAAAAATTAGATAGTTTAAATTATTTCATGAATTTTGATTTGGGGGATTATCAGTTTTTATTTTTACTATAATATCTGACTATTTATGGAATTTGGAGATATTCTCATGACATTTAAAAAGACTTAGATTATACTGACAAGTGTTTATGGTGGTTTTTGGTTTGTTCATAGTTTATCTGCTTGTTTTTATTTTTTTTCTTCCCTCATTTCATTTATATACATGTTAGAATTCTCTAGAGATCCATGCACTGTGTCTTCTTTTTTTTATTTTTTTCTAAGAGTGATTTTTGCTATAGGGCGTGTGTGTTCACCAGAGAGACAGAAAATGAGAAATCACACCCCCGGGGGGATGGCCATGCCACAGTCCCTTCTCTTCCATTCTCATCTTGAGATTTTGGGCATGCATGCACATGTACCTGGTGTGACTTTTAAGCTTCTGGGTCTGCGATTCGACGGGGGTCAACTATGTAGGAGTCCAGTTACATAACCATTATGCCTATACTTGTCCCCCATGTATCTCTTTATCATATTTTTACCTTAGTGATCTCATGAAGTTTCATGACTTTGAATTTTATTTGCAGACTAATGACTCTCAAACTTATATTTCCATTTTGGACCTTTTAGCTCCATATGTATATATTTATTCAACTATGTATATGGCATAATCACATGGAGGTCTGCTAGGCATCTCACACTCAACATATTCAAAATTGAACACATTTTTCTTCCTGCAACCTGCTCTTCCCAAAGCTTCCTCCATCTAAACAAATGGCAATTTCATGCTTCCACTTGCTCAGGCTAATCATCCCTAACTTTTCATCTTTTTTCTCTACTCCATATATAACTTGTCAGGAAATCATATTGACTCTACTTTCAAAATATATCCAGAATTTTACAAATTATATGACCCTCATCATTACTATCTTGGCATCTGTTGCCTAAATTATTCTGATTTTCCTGTTTCTTTCCACTCCTCTCCCTTGCCTGAGTTTAGTCTCTGAACAACCAGAGTGATTTTAAAATTAAAATTATGTCACTGGTGCTCATAATCCTCAGTAGCATCTAATCTCAGTTAAAGTGAAGTTTACGATGACCCCTTTATTTTTTACCTCATCTCCTCTTAGTCTCTTTCTTACTCTGTTTTAGCTGCTGGCCTCCCTATTTTGTTTTTTATTTTTTTTTAAGAGGTTTTTGTCTTAGGGAGTGTGCTCTCACTTGAGAGAGAGAAAAACAAACACAGTGAGAGGGAATGTTAGAAATCACCACCCAGGGAGATGGCCATGCTTCAATCCCTGCTCCATTCTCCTCCCGGGATCTTGGGCATGCATGCACACATGCCCAGCAAGAGTTTTAAGCCACTGGGTCAGGTCGAGCTATAGTCAGCCATGTGGGAGTCCAGTGACATATCTGCTACTCCATCTGCTGATCCCTGATTTTTTTTTTTTTTTTTTAGAACACTCTAGGTACACTCTGGCCTTTGTTCTTCCTGTTTCCTCTTTGGAATCATCTTTCCTGGATATTTACATGGTTTCTTCTCTCACTTGATCTTTTTGTTTCTTTTTGTTTTTGTTTGGCCATAGGGCACAGTCTCCCCAGAGAGAGAGAAAGTGAGAAATCACCCCTGAGGGGGATAGCCATCCTGCAGTCCCTTCTCCTTTTTCCTCTCGGTATTTTGGGCACAGATGTTCAATGTGATTTTCAAATCACTAGATCCAGGGATCAAATTGCTGTTGGCCATGTTAGAGTCCATTGCCTTAACCAAATGCTTATCCCCTTTTCCTTCACTTTCTAAGTGCTGTGTACAAAAGTTACCTTTTTAGGGAGTCTTATCTCTGATCACCTTACCACTCTTTTTAAAGTTTTTAAGAGAGATATTTTGCTCTTAAAAAGGCACATACACTTGCCAGAGAGACAGACAGAGAGAAAGTAAGAAATCACCCCCCAGGGAGAATGGCCATGCTGCATTCCCTTCTCTTTGATTCTCCTCTCAGGATTTTGGGCACATATACACTCACACCCAGCGTGAATTTCAACCCGCTGGGTCTGGGACTCAAACTGCAGTTGACCATGTAGGCATTCAGCTCCTTAACCACTATGCCACCTTCTGGCACCATTTTTAAAGTTTTTAATATCCCCCTACCTCCTAGCAACTTTTCATCTTCCCCATTTTTTTTTTTACCTTTGTCCGAAGTAATGATCACCATTTAACATTTTATACACTTTCTGTATTACGTGAATTGACTGTCTCTATGTTGTATTATCTTTTATTTTAGTCTGCTTTTCTATTGCTAATAATTGACTACCACAGACTGGGTTACTTCTAAAGAGTAAAGGTTTATTCAGCTCAAAGTTCTAGATATCCAAGTTCATCTGGTAAGGATCTTCCTAGTGGTGGGGATTTCCTGCAGAGTCCTGAGGCAGCACAGAATATCAAATGGTAAGAAGACAAAAGTATGTGTGTCAGCTTGAGCCACAGTTAGCTATGTGGGAGTCCAGTGCCATAACCATTACACCACTTGCTGTCTCCTCTTGGTGATTTTTGAAGCAATTTAATGTAATGGGAATTAAAAAGATTTGTGTTTCTTTAAACTTAATAAAGTTATACTATTTTATATTTAATTGTATCATTCCTATAGACCATAGATCAGCGTATTTGCATGACAGATAGTAAGGTTTGCAGGTCATACAGTCCCAACTACTCAGTGCTGTTCTGCAGTGCAAAAATAGCCATAGACAATGTAAGGTGATTGTGTTCCAAAAAACTTTATTTACAGAAATGCAGTTGGCTGGATTTGCCACGTGGGCCATAATTTGTGGACTCCTATAGATTGTGGATTGAACATTTTAATGAAATTTCTCTATCTCATCAATGGAAACACAGGCATGCTACCTGAGTCTTGGTTTACTCTATATCAGTTATTGATGAATAATATTTATTGATAATTTTTGTTTGAAGTTAGCTCTGTGATCTTTAGAGGTTCTGTTCTTCTAAAAAATTAAATAACTTATAATATCTATAATGATAATTTTCTTTTAATTTGAGTTCACAATGTATTTCAATACCATGTAGCTTGATTTTTTTTTTGGTAATCCAAGAGAGTATGTTTGTATGAGACAGAGAGAGAGAGAGATACACCCAGCAGGGCCTAATCATGTCAGAATCCTTTTTTCCTCCATTTTTTCATACTGTCAGGTTTCTGGGTGGCATGTTCTATAAGGTACCAGGGTCAGAATTAGAACCATGTTCAGCCATGTGGAATCCAGTTTCCTCTACATAGCATTTAACTACTACACTACAGGTCAGTGTACATTTTGATGGTAATGATTATCACCTCAATGGAAAATTTTTCATTATCTCCCTTTGGGATTGTAAAAACTCATGGACATGCTAGAGACCATTGTCTCATTTTTTCTTGTTAATTTTTTTTTCTGTATCAAGAACATTGAGAGCCCAGTGGCACTTCTCTTCTCTGTGATTGTCTTCTGAGGATATATAAAATACTGAGTCAGAGCCTAAGAAGTTTGTGTGATATAGGCCAGTCTTCTGATGTAGTACTTGTTCTTTAAATTGGCAACTTAAGTCTATTTTTTTAATCCATTTGTTCCCACAATGATATAAACAAAAATTTGACCTGTTTTATATTTCCCTTGAAAACAAATGAGAGGTCAAAATTAATATCATGTTTTATTGAGGCTGGCAGGTGCCCTAGCGGTTAAGGTGTTAGACTCCCGCATGGCTTACCGCTGTTCAAGTCTCACACCCAGAGGCTTGAAAATCATGCCTGGCACATGGGTGTGCATGTCCAAAATCCCAAGAAGAGAATGGAGAAGGGTTTGTGGTGTGGCCATCCTCCCTGGGGGGTGGGTGATTTCTCACTTTTTCTCTCTTATTTCTCCAGGGAATGCACACACCCTATAGCAAAAATCTCTCTCAAAAAAAGTCATATCTTATTGAAATTGTACTTTTAAAGTAAAATACTAAAACCCAAGCACTTAGATAATAACTTCCTAAACATTGTGTTTAGATTTACTTCTGATATTTTATTCATATGAACTATATTTCCAGTTATTGCTATGTAATTATATATTTAGCACATTTATATAGCTTAAAAACAATAGTAATGTGCTTATGCGTTTATTTTCCATTAAAAGGACTAACAATATTGATCTTGATGTATAGTGTTAAACAATTTTAATACAAATCCTGGTGGGTTAGAGAAATGGAGGAAGAAAAATTGCAATGTGACAATCCCCCTTGGGGGCTGCTTTCTCTATCTGTTGCTTGCATATGCCCTCTAGCAATTCCAAAAAATAATTTAAATGATTTTAATATAATTGTTTTTTATACTAACATATTTTATCATAAATTTAATTACTATTTTTTACAGGTTTATGATTTATTAAAATTTTGCAAAGTATTCATTAACTTTGGAAATATAATACTTTGAAATTCTTCAGTGAATTTATTTAAATTATATTTATTAAAGTGATTACAGTTTTAATCACGTTGTGTTTGAAGTTAGTTTGAACATAAAAACTTTCTATTTGAATCAGATTTTTTTTTTTTTAAGTTTTGTCATCAACTAAAGGCACAACCAGATACCTCACTTCTACTGGTGCTGATGGAACAATCTGTTTCTGGCAATGGCATGTAAAAACAATGAAGTTTCGGTAAGTTTAGAAGTAGATTAGAAATTTTGTGGAAAATTGAGCATGTTCACTTTTATTTATGATCTTAATAATTAATAAATCTGTGTATTTGTTTGTATATGTACATATCCATACCTATTTCAATTGCTTGACAGAGATTTTGGAATAAGATTCTTATGAATCAATGTTGAAGAGACTTTAATTTTTATAGAAAATTTTGGTAAGGAGATTCATTTTTTACTTTGATAAGAAGACTTTGAACTTCTCATAATGGTAGTAGTAAATCACATGGTAATATGTTTGTAAAACTGTAGCGCTAATGATTATATCATAAAGCAGTACATTTTAAATTGAATGATGAGAATAGTACTTACTGACCTCTTCTCCTTTGTTTTTCCTATAATATGGATGCTAAATTGATTACTACCCAGCAATATGCTAAGATTGATTTGTCCCCATGAGATGGACATGATGAAAACCAAAAACATCTTGCTTTTCTCTTTAGAGATCGCCCAGTGAAATTTACTGAGAGATCCAGACCTGGAGTTCAGATATCTTGTTCATCTTTCAGTTCTGGTATGTGTAAAAATGGAATGTTTTGAGTATTCAAAATATTAAATGATCTAGTTGTAAAAGACAACTTTTTAATTTTATGAAGAAAAAAATACTTGTTTGAACGTTAATGGATGAATACCAAAAATTTGAACTATATGTTATGATAGATGAACATTTCTAGATTCTTAATTAACATGTAATTGTGGTTGAGGCTTTTTTATAACTAAGTTTAATATATTTTTATATAGTGTAGATTTTACTTGGTAAAAAACAAAAAGACTCTCTGCCTCAAATACCCAGTAACCAAAAAGAAAATAACATTTTGACCCCTTAAATTCAGTGCAGAAAACCTGTCCTAACCTTACAGAAAACAGGTACCATGGCTTCATGTACAGGGATACCTCAGAAGTATTGTGGGTTTGGTTCCAGACCACTACAATAAAGTGAGCATTACAGTAAAGCAAGTCAAACAAAATTTTTGTTTCCTAATGCATATAAACATTATATTTGTACTATACTATAGTTTATTAAGTATGTAATAGCATTATGTTTAAAGAGAAAATATACATAACTTAAAAATATTGTTAAAAAATGATAATGATCATCTGAACCTTCAGCAAGTCATAATTTGTTTTGCTGGTGGAGGATTTTGCCTTTGTGTTGCTGGCTGCTGACTGATAAGATTGCTGTGGCAATTTCTTCAAATAAGACAGCGATAAAGTTTGTCATATTAATTGACTTCTCCTTTTACAAAATATTTCGCTACACTGCAGTATATATAATGTTTGATAGCATTTTACCCATAGTAGAACTGCTTTCAGAATTAGAGTCAGTCCTCTCAAACCCTGTTGGCTGCTCTGTTGACTAAGTTTTTTGTTCTAAATCCTTTGTGGTCATTTCAACAATGTTCATGGCATCTGCACCAGGAGTAGATTCCATCTTGAGAAACCATTTTCTTTGGTCACCATAAGAAGCAAATCCTCATCCATTAAAGTTTTTCTTTCGAAGAGGTTTTTGCTAGTGGGCACGTGTGCTCACCAGAAAGACAGAGAGAGACAGAGAGACAGAAAGCAAGAAATCACTCCCCAGGGGGATTGGCCATATCACAATTCCTTCTCCTCCATTCTCCTTTCGGGATCTTGGGTATGCACACACACGCACACACACCTGGCGTGAATTTAAGTCACCGAGTCCAGAACTCGAACTACGGTCGACTGCATGGGAGTCCGGCAACATAGTCATTATGCCAACTGCTAGTCCCATCCATTAAAGTTTTATCATGAGATTATAGCAATTTTTTTTCCCGTCTTCAGAATGTACTTTTTTTTTTGAGAGAGAGATTTTTTGCTATAGGGCACGTGTACTCATTGTAGAGACAGAGACAGAAAGTGAGAAATCACCCCCCAGGAAGGATGGCCATTCTACAATCCCTTCTTCATTCTCCTCTTGGGATTTTGGGCATGCACGCATAAGCAAGTGGTGTGAGTTTTAAGTCACTGGGTTTGGTACTCAAACCATGGTCGACTATGCGGGAGTCCAGTGACGTAACCATTATGCCATTGTCTGATCCCCAGGATGTACTTCTAATTCTAGTTCTCTTGCTATTTCCACCTCATATGTAGTTATTTCCTTCTCTGAAGTCTTGATCTCCTCAAAGTCATTTATGAGGTTTTGAATAAATTCCTTCCATGCTCTTAATGTTGATGTTTTGACCTCCTCCTATAAATTATGTACATTCTTAATAACCTCTAAAATGATGAATCTGTTCTTAAAGGTTTTCCATCACAGGAATCACTTTCTATGGTAGCTATCATTTTACGAAATGTATTTTTCATACGTAAGTCTTGAACGTTGACTCCTTGACCCATGGAGTGCAAAATAGATGTTGTGTTAATAGGCAAGAAAATAACATGCATCATTTTGTATACCTGTCAGAGCTCTTGGGTGACCAAGTGTATTGTCAATGAGCAGTAATATTTTTTCCCAAGAATTATTTATTTAATTTTATTATTTTTAAAATGTGATACAGAGTACATTTTCTCACTAGAGAGAGACAGAGAGAGAAGGAAGATGAGAAAACCAACTGCCAAGTCTAGGAGTTGAACCATAGTAAGCTATTTGGTAGTCCAGCACCTTAACCACTATGCCACCTGCTGGCCCTGATCAATAATATTTTGAAAAGAAAAGAAAAAAAAAAAACCTTTTTTTGAGCAGTAGGTCTTAACAGTGAGATTAAGTGTTCAGTATCATAAATTCTATTTATAGGTCACAGGCAAAATATATTTAGTAATTCTTAAGGACTCTAGGATTTGGGGAATGATAAATGAACATTGGCTTCAACCTATCATCCCTAACTGCATTATCCCCTAACAAGAGAGTTATAGTTAGCTTGTCCTTCAAAGCTTTGAAGATAAGCATTGAGTTTCCTCTGGCTATGAAAGTCTTAGATGGTATCTTCTTCCAGTGGGTGACTATTTCATCTTTACTAAAAATATCTTTTTTTAGAGTAGCCATTTTCACCAATTACCATAGCTAGATCTTCTCCATAGCTTGCTTTAGCAGCACTTGTTGCTTCACTTTACACTTTTATGTTATGGAGACAGCTTCTTTCCTTATCTCTTGAACCCACCTCTACTAGCTTTAAACTTTTCTCCTGCAACTTCCTTGTCTCTCTCAGTCTTCCTAGAATTAGAGATTTAGGACCTTCGTCTGGATTAGGCTTTGGCTTAAAAGAATGTTGTATCTTCTTCGAATCTTCTGACCAGACTCCTAAAACTTTCTCTATATCAGTAATAAGGCTACTTGCTTTTTTATCATTTGTGTGTTCATTGGATAACACATTTGATTTTCTTCATTCATAAGTTGGTCAATAAACAAGAGTCATACCATACCATTCAACCTGTTTGGGCTTTTGACATGCCTTTTTCACTAAGCCTAATTATTTCTAATTTCTTATTTAAATTGAGAGATTATGTGACTCTTCCTTTCACTTGAACACTTAGGGGTCACTGTAGGATTTTCAAAATTTTTTTTTGCCAGAGGGTGGGTGTGCTCACCAGAGAAAGATAGAAACCTAGGGAGAAGCAGAAAGCACTCCCTGATGGGGTGTGGTTACGTCACAGTTCTTCTCCATTTTTTCCACCCTATCAGGATTGGGGGTATGTACACACATGCTTTTCAAGCTGTAGGGACCAAGCTGGGTGGTCTTTCATGTGAGGTTTGGCTCCCTTAATCAGTAGGCCATGGGGCCGACCTACAGGGTTATTAATTGGCCCAATTTTAATGTTGTGTCGCAGGGAATAGGGAGGCCTGAGGGGAGAAGGAAGAGATGGGGGACTGCAGGTCAATGTAGCAGTCAGAAAACATATAGCACATTGATTAAGTTTGTTGTCTTGTGTCCCTAAAGAACTACAGTAGTAACATTGAGGATTACTAATCACAGATCACTGTAACAGATATAATATTATGAAAAGGTTTGAAATACTATGATAATCTCTAAAATGTGCCACAGAGACACAAAATGAGTAATTTCTGCTGGAAAGATGGCACTGATAGACTTACTTGCTCAATGCAAGATTGCCACAAACCTTCAATATGTGAAAAATACAGTATCTGCAAAACATAATAAAGTAAAGCACAACAAAACAAGGTATGCTTGTATAAGAAACTTATAGAAGGTAAACAGTGCTTTTTATAGTGTTAAGAATTTTTACTAATTTGGGCCAGCAGGTGGCATAGTGGTTAAAGGCACTGAACTCCTACATGACTGACTGTGGTCTGAGTCCTGAACCTGGTGGCTTGCTTTTTCACTTTCACTCTCTCTCTGGTCAGATTAAAAATAATAAATAAAATTAAATGAAATAATTCTTTTAAAAAGAAGAATTGTACACTAATTTATCTTTTTTAGCCTTTCTTATTGTCATAAAATATACATTGCAAAATTTGCTATTCCAGCAGTTTTTTAGTGTACAGTTCTTTGGCGGCATTAAGTACATGGACATTGTTCTGCATCTATCACCACCATGCATTTCTAAAACTTTTTCATCATCCCTAAAGTGGTTGAGTTTTTACAATCAACCACTATAACTAGTTTAAAGAGAATTGTGGATATAAGTTGTTTTATAAATAATTTTGGAACATTGCATTTTCATGTAAAATACAGAAAAATGAATTCTTCATGGTTCTGGGCTAATATGTATTATGCATAGACCTTTATTTCATATGTTAGTTGGTGTATTCTGTTTAATGAATGATATATTCATAAACATGTTTCTTGTTTAGAATTTTACTTTCTTTTCTCTGAAATGTATGTCTTTAATAGTTTGAAGACAACCTTGTATTTCTTGAAGCCTTCTTACTAATTTAAGATAGCATACAGCTAAGGAAGCACTTAGAGTGTTTTTAATGTTCCTTGGTACTATGTGTATTTGTTTCTTTCTTTTTTTTTTTTTTTTTTTTTTTTCTTTTCCCAGTCAGTCCTCTCAAACCCTGTTGGCTGCTCTGTTGACTAAGTTTTTTGTTCTAAATCCTTTGTGGTCATTTCAACAATGTTCATGGCATCTGCACCAGGAGTAGATTCCATCTTGAGAAACCATTTTCTTTGGTCACCATAAGAAGCAAATCCTCATCCATTAAAGTTTTTCTTTCGAAGAGGTTTTTGCTAGTGGGCACGTGTGCTCACCAGAAAGACAGAGAGAGACAGAGAGACAGAAAGCAAGAAATCACTCCCCAGGGGGATTGGCCATATCACAATTCCTTCTCCTCCATTCTCCTTTCGGGATCTTGGGTATGCACACACACGCACACACACCTGGCGTGAATTTAAGTCACCGAGTCCAGAACTCGAACTACGGTCGACTGCATGGGAGTCCGGCAACATAGTCATTATGCCAACTGCTAGTCCCATCCATTAAAGTTTTATCATGAGATTATAGCAATTTTTTTTCCCGTCTTCAGAATGTACTTTTTTTTTTGAGAGAGAGATTTTTTGCTATAGGGCACGTGTACTCATTGTAGAGACAGAGACAGAAAGTGAGAAATCACCCCCCAGGAAGGATGGCCATTCTACAATCCCTTCTTCATTCTCCTCTTGGGATTTTGGGCATGCACGCATAAGCAAGTGGTGTGAGTTTTAAGTCACTGGGTTTGGTACTCAAACCATGGTCGACTATGCGGGAGTCCAGTGACGTAACCATTATGCCATTGTCTGATCCCCAGGATGTACTTCTAATTCTAGTTCTCTTGCTATTTCCACCTCATATGTAGTTATTTCCTTCTCTGAAGTCTTGATCTCCTCAAAGTCATTTATGAGGTTTTGAATAAATTCCTTCCATGCTCTTAATGTTGATGTTTTGACCTCCTCCTATAAATTATGTACATTCTTAATAACCTCTAAAATGATGAATCTGTTCTTAAAGGTTTTCCATCACAGGAATCACTTTCTATGGTAGCTATCATTTTACGAAATGTATTTTTCATACGTAAGTCTTGAACGTTGACTCCTTGACCCATGGAGTGCAAAATAGATGTTGTGTTAATAGGCAAGAAAATAACATGCATCATTTTGTATACCTGTCAGAGCTCTTGGGTGACCAAGTGTATTGTCAATGAGCAGTAATATTTTTTCCCAAGAATTATTTATTTAATTTTATTATTTTTAAAATGTGATACAGAGTACATTTTCTCACTAGAGAGAGACAGAGAGAGAAGGAAGATGAGAAAGACAACTGCCAAGTCTAGGAGTTGAACCATAGTAAGCTATTTGGTAGTCCAGCACCTTAACCACTATGCCACCTGCTGGCCCTGATCAATAATATTTTGAAAAGAAAAGAAAAAAAAAAAACCTTTTTTTGAGCAGTAGGTCTTAACAGTGAGATTAAGTGTTCAGTATCATAAATTCTATTTATAGGTCACAGGCAAAATATATTTAGTAATTCTTAAGGACTCTAGGATTTGGGGAATGATAAATGAACATTGGCTTCAACCTATCATCCCTAACTGCATTATCCCCTAACAAGAGAGTTATAGTTAGCTTGTCCTTCAAAGCTTTGAAGATAAGCATTGAGTTTCCTCTGGCTATGAAAGTCTTAGATGGTATCTTCTTCCAGTGGGTGACTATTTCATCTTTACTAAAAATATCTTTTTTTAGAGTAGCCATTTTCACCAATTACCATAGCTAGATCTTCTCCATAGCTTGCTTTAGCAGCACTTGTTGCTTCACTTTACACTTTTATGTTATGGAGACAGCTTCTTTCCTTATCTCTTGAACCCACCTCTACTAGCTTTAAACTTTTCTCCTGCAACTTCCTTGTCTCTCTCAGTCTTCCTAGAATTAGAGATTTAGGACCTTCGTCTGGATTAGGCTTTGGCTTAAAAGAATGTTGTATCTTCTTCGAATCTTCTGACCAGACTCCTAAAACTTTCTCTATATCAGTAATAAGGCTACTTGCTTTTTTATCATTTGTGTGTTCATTGGATAACACATTTGATTTTCTTCATTCATAAGTTGGTCAATATGCAAGAGTCATACCATACCATTCAACCTGTTTGGGCTTTTGACATGCCTTTTTCACTAAGCCTAATTATTTCTAATTTCTTATTTAAATTGAGAGATTATGTGACTCTTCCTTTCACTTGAACACTTAGGGGTCACTGTAGGATTTTCAAAATTTTTTTTTGCCAGAGGGTGGGTGTGCTCACCAGAGAAAGATAGAAACCTAGGGAGAAGCAGAAAGCACTCCCTGATGGGGTGTGGTTACGTCACAGTTCTTCTCCATTTTTTCCACCCTATCAGGATTGGGGGTATGTACACACATGCTTTTCAAGCTGTAGGGACCAAGCTGGGTGGTCTTTCATGTGAGGTTTGGCTCCCTTAATCAGTAGGCCATGGGGCCGACCTACAGGGTTATTAATTGGCCCAATTTTAATGTTGTGTCGCAGGGAATAGGGAGGCCTGAGGGGAGAAGGAAGAGATGGGGGACTGCAGGTCAATGTAGCAGTCAGAAAACATATAGCACATTGATTAAGTTTGTTGTCTTGTGTCCCTAAAGAACTACAGTAGTAACATTGAGGATTACTAATCACAGATCACTGTAACAGATATAATATTATGAAAAGGTTTGAAATACTATGATAATCTCTAAAATGTGCCACAGAGACACAAAATGAGTAATTTCTGCTGGAAAGATGGCACTGATAGACTTACTTGCTCAATGCAAGATTGCCACAAACCTTCAATATGTGAAAAATACAGTATCTGCAAAACATAATAAAGTAAAGCACAACAAAACAAGGTATGCTTGTATAAGAAACTTATAGAAGGTAAACAGTGCTTTTTATAGTGTTAAGAATTTTTACTAATTTGGGCCAGCAGGTGGCATAGTGGTTAAAGGCACTGAACTCCTACATGACTGACTGTGGTCTGAGTCCTGAACCTGGTGGCTTGCTTTTTCACTTTCACTCTCTCTCTGGTCAGATTAAAAATAATAAATAAAATTAAATGAAATAATTCTTTTAAAAAGAAGAATTGTACACTAATTTATCTTTTTTAGCCTTTCTTATTGTCATAAAATATACATTGCAAAATTTGCTATTCAAGAAGTGTACACTAATTTATCTTTTTTAGCCTTTCTTATTGTCATAAAATATACATTGCAAAATTTGCTATTCCAGCAGTTTTTTAGTGTACAGTTCTTTGGCGGCATTAAGTACATGGACATTGTTCTGCATCTATCACCACCATGCATTTCTAAAACTTTTTCATCATCCCTAAAGTGGTTGAGTTTTTACAATCAACCACTATAACTAGTTTAAAGAGAATTGTGGATATAAGTTGTTTTATAAATAATTTTGGAACATTGCATTTTCATGTAAAATACAGAAAAATGAATTCTTCATGATCCTGGGCTAATATGTATTATGCATAGACCTTTATTTCATATGTTAGTTGGTGTATTCTGTTTAATGAATGATATATTCATAAACATGTTTCTTGTTTAGAATTTTACTTTCTTTTCTCTGAAATGTATGTCTTTAATAGTTTGAAGACAACCTTGTATTTCTTGAAGCCTTCTTACTAATTTAAGATAGCATACAGCTAAGGAAGCACTTAGAGTGTTTTTAATGTTCCTTGGTACTATGTGTATTTTTTTCTTTCTTTTTTTTTTTTTTTTTTTTTTTTTTTAGCTTTTAGTATCTACCCACTATTTGAACAGAATCCTAATTTTTTTTTCTGGCATTAAGTCTTAAGCGAATTTTTCTTTCTTTTTTTTTATTTATAGAGTCACATACGGTAAGAGCAAAATGAGAAGTGTAAATATGTTACTTTATTTTTATAACTCTCCTGGAAAATTTGTTTCATTTCTTCTTTCCTCATCTGTACTCTAATATAGATTGAAAGTAAATCCTTTGTGGTAAAATGTCTCTTTAATAATAAAGATAAATGTAAAATTCTGGATTTACTATGGTCATAGTATTTCAGATGAGTTCTGTTGAATATATGGAAAAATTATGTATAAAAATGTATAAATATACATATATATATACACACACACACACACACACACACACACACACACACACACACACACACGTATATTGGGTTTCCAGGAAAGTCATAACACGTTTTTGCATAGAAAAACAGAAAAATACATCATAACTTTCCCAGCAACCTAATATATACACATACACTATAGTAATAGTTTGAAAATCTTCTTTTTAGCCTGCTGTATTTTATTAGTTACATGAGCTGCCTATTACTTAAAATTCACACTTAATAAAATATTTATTAAGTAAGTCTCAGGGAAAAAATGCTTTATTGAATTTAGTTTGTTGTTCTTAGTATGATTTTTAGAATACCACTAAAGACTGATAGATTCTAATTCCACTTAGTTATCTGCATTCATTCATTCATTCATTCATTCATTTATTTAGGAGAGGTTTTTGCTGTAGGGTGTGTGCGCTCACCAGAAAGACAGAGAAAGTCAGAGAGACAGAAAGTGAGAAATCACCCCCCAGGGGGGATGGCCACGCCACCATCCCTTCTCCTCCATGCTCCTCTCGGGATCTTGGGCACGCATGCACACATGCCCAGCGTGAGTTTAAGCCACTGGGTCCAGGACTCAAACCGTGGTCGGCTACGTGGGAGTCCAGTGACATAGCCATTATGCTAAGTGCTGGTCCCTATAAGCATTTGCTTTTTAAGAGAGATTTTTGTATAGTACATGTGTGCTCACTGGAGAGAGAGAAAATGAGCAATCACCCCCTCCAGGGCGGTCGGCTATGCTATAATCCTTTCTTCTCTATTCTCCTTTTGGAATCTTGGACATGCATGTGTCCAGTGTGAGTTTGAAGCTGCCGGATCAAGGACTTGAACCACAGTTGGCCATGTAGGAGTCCAGCGATGTAACCATTATGCCATCTGCTGGTCCCAGTTATCAGTATTGCATACAGGGAATGAATATATACCTTGGGTGAAAGCAATTTGTGACTGGCACATGTATGTGCTCTTTGTCTATTCCCATCCTCTGTGGCAGGGGGTTTGAGCCACTGCTGTTTAGTTATATCCCTGTGCACTTTTCAAGCATTTATTCTTTTTCTTTCCATACTTTCTTCTTCAAATAATTCCTGTGACGTATGGGAGTATTTCTGTTTCAGCTCATTGTACATCTCACATGCCTCACTGTCAAAGCTGTATAGTCAGCAATTGAAAGCATTTATCTTTGGAAGTTTAATGTTACTGTTTTTGTTATTATTGAAACCTCATTTGGAATATTACTAGTGTACATCAGTAAAACACAACTGTTTTTCCTGAAAGATGCCTTTGTGCATTACAGAATCAATTTTGTTTTCTTAAATATGTAGTAGAATGGAACTGTGTTAGGAACCTTCTCCTGAAGCTTTTACAAACAACTTGTCTTCTGCTTTTTGTCCTTATTATGCAAACATAACTGGACATTTTCCTTATGAAGATTTACTGAATTCTACTGAGTACTCACCTTACTGTTACTTATTCCTAGATACTAAAATCCTGGAGTACTATTTAAATTGTGAAAGAAAAATACTTAAATATTAAAGCTCTAAGCATAAAACCATTAACTGAGAAATCCACTTTTTTATCAAAAGTTAAGCTCAAATACTGTTCACTAACAGAGTGGTTTGTGAAAATATGTATAATATGTATAATATGCTAGAACATGACAAGGAGGGATCTTTGCAGTTATCACCCAAGTTGGGCTGTATGTACAAATACAGTCAAGTTTATTTTATTGAGAGCTGAGAGAGAAGGAGGTAATAAATGAGTGGGAAAGGATTGAAGGGGGAAAAGATGAAGAAAAATTGATTTAGTACGGTTTTATTTGCAGTAGCCCAACTAAGAAGACAAGTCAAAAAAAGTGAACATTACCTATTAGAATCACTGGTGGCTGTTAGTCTCTAAAATTAAGTTGTTTTGAAAATAAGTTGTTCCTTCAGAACATCTGGAACCAATAATTGTATCTGGCAGTGAGAATCCATAATCTATCACATAAATAATATAGTGAAATCATGAAACATTTTGAATCAGTTATAAATCTGAATATATGAAGAGTTTATTAATTTTCAATGATATCAATAATTATAGAGATTTAATATCAGCTTTTTATCAAAAGTTAAGCTCAAATACTGTTCAATAACAGAGTGGTTTGGGAAAATATATATAACACTTGATGGTATATTTTAATTTTATTATCAAGAAAGAAAAGTGGGGACCAGCAGTTAGCATAATGACTATGTCACTGGACTCCCATGTAGTCGACCGCAGTTCACGTCCCGGACCTGGTGGTTTAAAACTCACGCTGGGCATGTGTGCATGCGTACCCAAGATCCTGAAAGGAGAATGGAGGGGAAGGGATTGTGGCATGGCCATTACCCCTGGGGGGTAATTTCTCGCTTTCTGTCTCTCTGTCTCTGTCTGTCAGGCGAGTGCACGCGCCCTATAGCAAAAACCTCTTAAAAAAAAAAAAGAAAGAAAAGTGAAGGAAATTGCAAAATTTGTCTTGTACATCAATCTTGTCATCACTATTATGTATACTGTCTTTTTTAAAGAATGGGTTAATTATTCAAAAGGAAAATTCAAATAGCATCTCAACTATATTACCTACAGGTTATAAGTTCAAAGGTTCCATTATAAAATAATTCTTGTGGAAAATGGGAATTAATTGTTTTGTTTTCTGAAATAAGAGAAAATTAGTGGGAAATGTAATTTAACTACTATTAAGTAAGTAATTTTAAGGTGATTTCATAAATCAATATGCTGTCTGAATTACATGGGACATAGTAAGCTAATACCTATTCAAAACTGTCTGAAATATGGTTTAGAAGCAGATTTGCTTTTGTCTGGTTTGTTTTAAATTATTGCCAGTAAGTATTGCTCCTTTAGTTAATGCATAGTTTCAGGCTGTATTTTTTTTTTTCTTTTTGAGAGGTTTTTGCTATAGGGGACGTGCACTCGCCAGAAAGACATAGAGATGCAGACAGAAAGCAAGAAATCACCCTCTAGAGGGGATGGCCGCGCCACAATCCCTTCTCCTCCATTCTTCTCTCAGGATCTTGGGCACACATACACATGCACCTGGCCTGAATTTAAGCCACCAGGTCCAGAACTCAAACTGCTGTTGACTACATGGGAGTCCAGTGATTTAGCCCATTACGCCATCTGCTGGTCCCACCAGGCTGTATTATATTTTAAATTCTATTTATGTATGTATGTATTTATTTATTTAATTAATTTATTTATTTTAGATTTTTGCTACAGGGCATATGCACTTGCCAGAGAGAAGGAAAATGAAAAGTCACTCCCAGTAGAGGGGTAGGGAGATTGGCCATGTTGCCATCTCTTCTTTCAGGATTTTGGGCACGCATGCACATGGGACCAGTGTGTTTTTCAAGCAGCCTAGTTCAAGACTTGAATTGTGGGGTCAGCTGTGTGGGATCCAGCTTCATAACCACCATGTCACCTGCTGGCCCTTTATTTTTTTTTTAAGAAAATGACATTAAACAAATTCATCCCATGATACTTTTACATGTGAATTTGATGGAAAGAGCACTTGGTTTGTTTTACAGATAAGGTCATTTTAACCAAGAATCTGTTGTTTTATGTCTTAGGACAAAGTTGTTGCTGTTCAGTTCTGTAACAATGGAGACAGGTAATTATGTAGTACATATTAGTGTAAACAAATCTTTGAGATATTTTATTACTATTCCCTCAAAGAAGCATCTGTTTTTGTTGTAGATGTTATTTCTGTTTGTTCACTGAAGTTCACAGCCCTTGTCTGTCTTGGACATCCTTTTCTATCCCTTCCAAATTCTCATCCAAGTAATAACCATAGTGTATCAGTTCTTTTTTGAGTGCTTTCTTTTTTGTTTATTTTGCTCTTTCTATTTCTGTTACCACCCACCTTGGTCATGGATTCCCTTATTTGACACTTTTATTGCTGCCAGATTAACATTGTTTTGTTCATAACACTAGTATTTCTTCCTCCTTAGTGGAATAGAAGTCAGATGTCTTAGACTGGCATTCAGAGAGACCTGTATGCGTTTCTCATCTACTATTCTCCATATTCTCCTTAGATCTAGCCTAATTGACTTACTCATTGGTCTTGTCATATCCCATGTACATTATCTCATTTATTCCTTTGCTTATACTTTTTTTCCATATCATTCCTACCCAGAAATACCATTCCCTACCTTCCTCTAACCTCTTTCTCTTTCACTCTTATGTTCTCTGTTCTCTCTCTCTCTTTCTTCTATTCTCCCTTTCCCACTCTTCTCTTTCTCTTCTTATCCTAGTCTTACCTTCCCTTTAAAATTGATGTTCTACCTGAAACCTTTCCTGACTGCTCCAATTTTAGCTATTTTGACTTCCTTTAAATATCTGTATTGCTGATTATCTCTACTACAGTAGTCTCCCCATATTCTGTGGGCAATACATTCCAAGACCCTCAGAGATGCCTGAAATCATGGATAGTATCAAACTCTATGTATACTATGTTATTTTTTGATCTGATAACTGATGGCTACTATGTGACTAACGACCAGCTTTGTAGCATGTCATGTGGATACTCTGGACAAAGGGTGATTCACATCCCAGGTGGGGTATGTCCCAGATGGAATGGGGTGGGATGGTACAAGATTTCATCATGCTATTTAGATCATTGTGTAATTTAAAAGTGGCAAATTTCATTTTTCTGGAAATTTCCATTAAATATTTTACATTGTGGTTGACTGTGGGTAACTGAAACTGTGTAAATTGGAACCATGGATGAAGAGACTACTGTACTCGTATGTTACATATTCCTTTTTTCTGTATTTTGTAAACTCAGAAATTATATAGAGTTATTTGTGCACCTTCTGAAATGTTTAATTATCCAAAAGACGATAATCTGCCCTGGCCTAAAAGTTGACCTAGATTTAATGTTTTAATTTAGCATGAATTTATATTCACATATGTCTATGAGGCCTTTGTGGATGACTGTTTTATTTTAAAATATTATTTGGACAATGAGTGATTGCAATGATAAATTTTATCATCCTTGTTAAATGTGAAGTAAATAATGTAGTCCATAGAGAGTGATTCTGTATTGAGAATGACAAAAACCTCAAATAAATTTTAATGTTAACTTACTATAATTTACTGAATTATATACTTGAAAGTTTGTACAGTTACTATTCTTTTATGCTAGAATAATCTGAATTTTTCATTCTCTGCCTTTCTTCTTTAAGGAAAAACACCTTGTTTTATCTATGTGGCCAATAAAGATATCAAAAGATACCTAAACTAAAGATTTTTGGGAAATGGATACTCTCCTACAATTTTTTTAAGAACTATTTATTTCATTTTATTTGTCATCATTATTATTTTTTTAATTTGATACAAGGCATGCATGCTCACCAGAGAGAGAGAGAGAGAGAAGGAAAGTGAGAAAGCAAGCCGCCAGGTCCAGGATTTGACCCACAATCAGCCATGTGGGAGTCCATGCCTTAACCACCATGCCACCTGCTGTTCCTCTCTCTACAATTTTTGAAAAGATTATAAATTGTTAAAAAAAGTTTCAGGGCAACAATTTGACAGTATTTATTAAAAACTCAAAAGAATATGCCTACTCTTTTACTAAGCAAAGACATGTATAGGGTTGTGCAAGAAGTATACAGAGATGTTTGTTTCTAATGATGAAGACAGACAACAGTGTAAATATTGATCACATAGGGATTGATTAAATAAATTTTGATGTATCTATATGGGTGAACACACATTAAATGCAATGGTAATTTTATACTTGTAAACATAGAAGTAGACCTATAAAATACAGTTAAGTTAAGGAAAAATATAATATTTAGTATTTAGTGCAATTCTCTTTGTTTATTATGTTGCCAGAAGATGCATGAGCTCACCCATGAGAAAGAGGGAGAGAACCTCCATTGGAATGTGGTCACACTGTGATTTTTTTTTTTCTCTTCCTCTTTCCCGTAAGGATTGTGGGCATTTATGTACATGTGCCCAGTGTGTTTTTCAAGCTGCCGGGGCCAGAACCATAGTCAGCTGTATGGGGTCTGGCTCCCTTAACTGCTGAGCTGTGGGGACATCTCAGCAATTCTGTTTCTTGTAGGGGAAAATATGAGTGTATATGTATGTATTTAATAAACTCTGAAAGAATAGAAAGTAAGCAGTAATAACTATGAGTGAATGTGTGTATTATTATTAACATCTTTGTTGAGATGTAATTTACAAAACATAAAATTTAGTGGTTTTTAGTATATTAATAGGATTGTGCAAATACCATCACAGTCAATTTTATAATATTTTTATCACCCCATAGAGAAAGCCTATATTCTTTAGCTGTCAGCCAGTCCTCCTATCAGTTCATTCCCAGCTCTAATTGTTAATCTGCTTTTTGTCTTTATAGGTTCATGTTGCAGCATGTATCATTATTTTTTCCTTTTTTTTACTGAATAGTATTACATACATCATGTGGATTTGCCACAATTTATACATTTATCCATTATTGATGGACATTGGAGCTTATAAGTAGTGCTACTTTGAATTTTTATATACATTTTAGTATAGACTTACATTTTCATTTATCTTGAACATACACCTGGGAGTAGAATTACTGGGTCATATGATAACTGTATTTTAGTATTTTGATGAATTGCCAACTGTTTTCTAAAGTGTCTGTACCATTTAAAATTCACTCCAGGAATGCATGAGGGTGAATGTTTTACTTTTATAATCAGAAGAAAAGTGATTTCCATTTTGGAGAAAAGTAACAAAAGGCTATTTTATATCTTTCTTACCAGTTTAAGATTTGTTAGTGGAAGTAGAGATGGAACAGCAAGAATTTGGCAATATCAACAACAAGAATGGAAGAGTATAGTGCTAGATATGGCTACTAAAGTGACTGGGTAAGAATGGATGTTAAATATTTCAGTGATTCTCATATGGTGTGCTGTCTTTTACATTGAATTATATTTGATAAAAACATAAAATATACTTTTTACATTAGTAAACATTTTGAAATTAATTAGTAGATGGGAAATGTGCAGCTGTATCATTTTTTAAGCAAATCGCCTATTGTTGCTTTTATAGACTAGATAATAGGCACGTTGCTAACTCATATGAATCTGATCTGTTATGACTCAAAAATCCCTTTGCTCTTCTTTACTAGAATCATTCACTGCTTTAGTTTTCTGTAGGTCTTTTAAAAAATATCTATCTGTACTACAGAGGGTCTTCAAAAGATAATGAAAAATGTGTATTATAAAAAAACTGCATGGATTTAAAAATTTTTTTGCACCAAAACAAACTCATACTTTAATTCCATTTTCCCACAAACTTTTTTTTTAAATTGAATTTGCTATAGAGTACATGCACTCACTAGAGGCAAAGGGAGAGAGGAGTAAGAAATTACCCCACACAGGGAATGGCCATACAGAAACCCCTTCTCTATTCTTCTCTCAGGATATTTAGTATGGATGCACATGTGCCTGGAATGTTTTTCAAGCCACCAGGTCCAGGACTCAAACCACGCAGCTGACCATGTGAGATTGAGCTTCCTTAACTGCCACACTACCTGCTGGTTCCCCTGTAAACTTTTTGCAGTCCTCTTGTACTTCCTATTTTGAGGGTTGTCCCTATGAAATCCCATTATATGTTTAACTTTTTCTCTAATTTACTGAGGATGACTTTATATATACACACATATATGTATATATATGTATATATATAGAGAGAGAGAGAGAAAGAGATTTTTGCTATAGGGCGCTCACTGGAGAGACAAAGAGAGACAGAAAACAAAAAATCATCCTCTAGGGGGGATGGCCACACTGCAGGTTCTTCTCCATTCTCCTCTCTTGATTTTGGGTACACACGCATATACACCCAGAGAGAGTTTCAAGCTACTAGGTCTGGGACTCGAATCGTGGTCAACTACATGGGAATCTAGAGATGTAACCATTATGCCACATGCTGGTACACCCATGAGCTTTTTTGCAATCTCCCTGTTCTTTCTGTTTTAAGGGTTGTCCCTATTAAATGTCATCCTGTGTTTAACCTTTTATTTACTGAGGATGACTTTATATTATTTCATATAGCATTCCCACTCAGTGTTATATGTTTATTTACCATTCTCTTTCATCATCTTCGTTGTTGCTGGAAAGATATATAATTACCTCTTTGGGACGCTAGGTTTTTTAGGATCTAGAAATTAATTATCTTTCCATTAATAAAAATATAGGTTTGGCTTTGTAGTCATAGCTAACTATTGATGACATAACATTTAATTTAATCAAAAGTTACTGCCCCAGCCGTGGTGACAGAGTGCTGCTATGTGAGGCTAGGGACGTGTGGATGTCCCACATTTGGTTCCCAGACCTAAACCTAAACAGACCAGGTACAATGGTGCATGTGTAGTCCAAGTGGTGCATACCTGTAATCCTAGCTAAACTAGGAGGCTGTGCAGGAGGACTGTAATATAAGACCCTGTAGAAAATAGCTATCTTTTTTCTTCTCTCCTTTCAGCCCCTACCATCTCTCATTAAAAAGGTATTTACTGAGTTTCAGACTGCTTTTTAACAAGACCTAATAATTTTTTTACAAAATAGTATTTGTGGCATTGAAGTGGACATTTTGAGATTTTCTGTTAGCCAACATAAACTTGTACTTAATTTTTAAGTTACTTTTATATTTATTTCTAGCTTCATTTTTATTGTTGTTTTCAACAAAGTATTTAAAAATTTTTTTGGGGGGGATTTTTCTTTTCTTCCTGAATTAAGTCTATAGGAATTACCCTACTCAGGTACATTTATTTTTTTCTTTCATGTGTACCTAATAGTATAGTTTGGAATTTTATCATCTAAATAGTTTTATTCTCCTGGAGAAATTTTGTCATAATTTGTTCTTTTATTTACTCTTCTGTTCAAAAAATTGACAAGGTTTGCCTACTGTAAATTGTTTCATTTAGGAATAATTTGCCATCTGGAGAAGACAAGATCACTAAACTTAAAGTGACTATGGTGGCCTGGGATCGCTATGACACCACAGTTATTACTGCAGTGAACAATTTTCTTTTGAAAGTATGGAATTCTATCACAGGACAACTTCTTCATACTTTATCTGTAAGTATTTTATTTCCAGAATAATGAAACATGTAAAAAAGTATATTATTCTAAAAGGTAAGAAATTCAAGAAATAGTATCTTTTCTATGACTTATTATCTTTTCTATGACTTATAGGCCTTGGAGAAGTAATTATTCAAGGGATCTCTATTGACATGTCTACAAAGCAGTGATTACACATGGTTTACCTGCTAAAAAGTGGGCATGGAATTTTTTCAAGGTCGTTTTCAAGTCTAATAGTTTATTCTTCTATTATAGCATGTAGTCAAGGATATAAAAGTTACTGTGCTTTTAACAGGGATTGGGATTTTTTGTTGTCACTGTTGTAGGGTAGAGTTTAATAAGGATATCCTGTGTAGTCTACCCTCAGTGATTAGTTTATGCAAGAAATAGAGGTAAGAGGAAGAAATTGGAGGCAAAAAAGGGTGCTTTTTCCTCTTTTTAAAAATCTATTTGTTGTGCTGCCTCTGTGACCTGGTAGTTAAGGCAGCCAGATCTCACACGGCTGGCAGCATGGTTCAAGTCCCGGATCCAGTGGCTTAAAAAACATACTGGGTGTGTGTGTATACATGTTCAAAGTCCCAAAATGAGGGGGAGATGGAAGAGAAGGGATTACAGCATGACCATTCTTCATGGGTGTTGCTTTGTTCCCTTCTTCTCTCTGGTAAGCACATATGGGATACCCTCTAGTGATAAAACACAATGTAGTTGTTGTAGTAAATGACTGCAATATTTGTGATGTGAAATGTTGATAGAATTAACAGCAGCAATCAGGTAGGTGGGGTTGTTATTTGTCAGTTTATTATAATATGGTACACAGCGTAATTCAGACTATAAACCAATTCCCTTGACTCAACTCAGTTTTCTTATATGTATACCATGGTGCTATCCTTATTTGACTCATATGCAAGATAATTTTAGCATAAAGCTCTGAGATTTCTAAAGATATATATAATTCGGGAAGGATTTCCAATTTATCTTTTGTATACCTACACGTATTCTTTCCTTAATAAAACTGTAACACTGTGTTAGTGGACTTTTAGATTCTTCCTTTTATCTGTTAAGCCAATGCTTGTCTCATTTTAGCTTTTCCTATTACCTGATATAAATTTCTATTAATATATCTGGAAAAACTTGTACTGTTTAGTTGATTCTGTTTTAAGAAATGTTTGTCTACATCACTGTGTTCCAATAAAAATATCTGAGCCATATATATGATACTAGTTTTGTTAGTAGCTACTGTTAAAGTAAAATGAAGCAAGTAAAACTAATTTTAATAAAATTTTATTCAATCCAGTTCATCTAAAATGCTAGCATTTTAACATGCAATAAATATAAAAGTATTACTGTAATATTTTATCCTTTTTTATGATAAATCTTTGAAATATAGCAAATATTTTATACTTATAAAACATCTCAGTTTGGACTATTTTTTAGTCCTTATAGTAGTCAAATCTTACTTTCCATATAGTACTTATATCTTGGTTGTAATAATTTGTGTATCAGGGTTTTAGTGAAATTCAAAGTTCTTCTATTCAGCTCATGATTTTTAAACGTCAGCTGTGTTCTAGGCACCATTTTAGGTGTTATGAATAAATGGTAAACATAGTCCAGTTCCATTGGAATTTAAAACCTATTAAGAAAAATATATATATATGTATACATACATTTTAATTGCTAGAGGGCATGTGCACCAAAGACAAAGAGAGACAGGGAGAGGGAGAAAGCATCCCCCCAAACATATGCCTGATGTGTTTTTTAAACTGTCAAGGTCAGAATTCAAACTAGGGTCATCTGTGTGGGATCCAGCTCCCTTAACCACTAGGTCATAGGGCCATCCCAAAATAATTTTTTTTTCTTTTTTTTTTTTTACTAATTTTAAAAATTATTATTCATACATTAAATCACTATACATCATTTAGATTGTAAAGAGACTTTACCCAGCATGAAGAAAATTATATAAATTTCCAATAGGATGACCAAATTTGATCTGAAAGGATCAGAGAAAGCTTCCTGAGGAAATGAAGTTTGAGTTAAGATTCAAAAGATAAGGAGGAATTTCCCAGGTCTTAGCTTAAATGTCACCTCATTCCTTAGACCTTTCCTAATATAAAAATCCAAGGTAGCTTCCAGTCTGTCTTACTACATTTCCTTGCTTTATTTTCATCAGTGTTTATTGCTACCTGATATTTTCTTGTTTACTTGCTGTCTTTACATAGCAGGTGGTTAATAAATATTTGGTAAATTACATATATAACAAGGTTGGGGGAGTCCTGCCAAGAAGAGGGACTTATATGCATATACAAAGGTTCCTGAGGTGCAAGAGAACTAAAATCAAGCCAGTGTGACTACAGCAGAGAAACAGATTTTCATCAGATAAGACTGGAGTAGTGGACAGGCCAAACCATTCAGAATACTTTAAGACCAGTATAAAACCATTAAAAGGTTTAAAGCAAAGGAATGGCATATTTAAATTTTGCTTTTGTGGGACCAGCAAGTGGCATGGTGGTTAAAGTCCTGGACATCCACATAGCCAGCTATGGTTTGTGTTTTGGACCTGGAGGCTTGAAAATCACACTGGGTGCATGTGCTTGTGTGCCCAATATTTCAGGAAGAGAATGGAGTAGAAGGGATTACAGTGTGGTCATCCCCCCTTGGGGGGTGATTTGTCACATTCCCTCTCACTGTCTCTGTCTCTTTCTGGTGAGAATACACACCCTATTGCAAAAATGTAAAAAAAAATTGCATTTGAAAAATATCTTGTAATTTTGGAAACAGCAAAGGAAGTAGATTTGAATGGGCTAAGAGTGACTCTGGGTAGACAATGGAAGTCTTATATAGTAGCCAGGATGAGCCATGCTGATACATAGATTTGTGTGGAAGTGATAGAAATAGGGGTTTGCTTAATAAATACAAATGTGGTAAATGATAAATCTTAAGACATTATTGATTTTTTTTAAAAAGAGATTTTTGCTATTGGGCGCATGCACTTGCCAGAGAGACAGACAGCGAGAAATCACCCCTAGGGGTTATGGCTGCACCACAATCCCTTTTCCTCCATTCTCCACTCGGGATTGGGCATGCGCACACATGCACCCGGCATGAGTTTTAAGCCACCAGTTCCAGGACTCAAACCGTTGTTGACTCCATGGTAGTCCAATGACAAAACCAATATGCCATTTGCTGATCCCAAGACCTTATTGATTCTATGTTTTGTTCTTCACAATCTAGTGACTGTGCCCTATCCTAAAACATGTGATCCAAAAAAGAAAATCTCCCAATTAAAAGGAATTTTTCCCCAATGTACACTGTAGTAGTGTTGTCACTTTTCTTTGTTGGGAGGCTATTACTGATTCAACCCTTTGCTTGTTATTGGTCTATTCAGGCTTTCTATTTCTTCCTGATTCAATCTTGGTAAGTTATGTGTGTCCAGAAATTTTTCTGTCTCATCTATTGGGTTGTCAGAAAAGTCATGACATATTTTTCTATGTTTATTCTTTGCAAAAATCTGCCGTGACTTTTCATACAAGCCAATAGGTTTTCTTGTTTATTGGCATATATTTTTTTGTAGTATTCTTTAATAATCTTTTGAATTTCTGTTATGTCTGTTCTAATATTGCCTGTTGCATTACTGATTTGACTTATCCGGTTCCTTTGTCAGTTGGTCATGGTACAGTCCTTTGTCCCCATTCTCCTCCTTGGATTTTGGGCAAGCACATGCACCGATCTTGAGTTTCAAATCTCCGAGTCTGATACTTGACCTGCAGTTCACTATGTGGGACTCCAGTGCCTTCACCAGTATGCCACCCACTGGTCCCCATAGATAATCTTTTTCTGCTGATTTTATTTGGAGCTCCTTTTATTTTTGGGGTCTGAATTTCCTTTTGTTTCTCTAGATGTAGAAGATTTTTAGATAATATTTCATGGAAAAGGTTTTCCTTGTCTTTACTAACTTTTTCTCCTTCCAGAATACCCATTATATGGATATTTGGGTATTTCATGGTGTTTCCAATTTCCCATTTTGTTTATTTTCTCATGGAATGAGCTTTTGGGTTCACTTATTTTCTGTGTAGTTCTTTTGTTCTCTATTTCATTTATTTGTGCTCAAATCTGTTATTCTTTTCTCATGGTATTGTTTGGATTTTTGTTGTTGTTGTTGCTTTTCCAGTTACCGGTGATGTGGTGTAAGATTGTCTATTTGCCACCCTTCTGTTTTTCCTTGTGGGTACTAATTGCTATGAACTTCCCTCATATGATTGCTTTTGTCATGTCCCATAGATTATAAAAACTCATTCGTTCATTATCATTGGTTTTCATGAATCATTTGATTTTAGTCTTAGTTTCTTCAGTGGTTGTGAAGTCATTCAGGATTTTGTTGTATTCTTTCCATGTGTTTATATATTTTTGAGGGTTCTTCTGTAGTTGATTTCAAGTTTGATTCCATCATGGTAAGAAAAGTTGCTGGATATAGTTTCTACTCCTTTTAATTTATAAGGGCTTGTTTTGTGCCCTATCATGTGGTTGATCTTTGAAAACTTTCCATGTAGGGAATGAGAAAAATGTATGTTTTTGATTGCTGAGAGAAATGTTCTGTAGTTCTTTGTCAAGTTCATTTAATTTATGGTGTTATTGGGAGCCTGTGGTGCTGCAAATCAGGGAGAAGTGGTACTTGTTGAGGGAAGCCAATGCAGAAGACTGCTGCAGGCTTCTTCCTGCATCTCACCTTACTCATTCCCCTGCCATATACCTCTGAATTCTCAGACTTCAGTGCTTCCTGAAGTGCATGCCACATGACCCTTTTTCTTTTCCTCAAATGAAGCTCTGCAGCTCAGCCCAGGTGCACCTATTCTCTAAAAACTGGGAGGACGTCAAATTACTGAAGTACAGAGACTACAGTGCAGGTTGCTGGGTGAGCATTAGGAAGGTAGAGCAGTGGGGAGATTGTTGGTCAACTCCTACTTCTCACCTTTGAACACTCAGAATTAACTTGAAAAATTTAG